GGGAGGGCACGAGAGGAGAGGGAGGACGGTTCTCTGTGCCCGCGGCATCCTTGTTGACGCTCGTGGTGGAGCGGAGCCGGTCGTCACCGCGGTGGTCGTAGTATTCGGCGGTGGTGTAGTTTGCGTTTTCCAGATCGGAGTTTGATCTCGATGCGTCGGAAGATAAGCGTTCTTTGCGATTTGGCTGGATGCTGTTGCGGATGTTTTCTCCCATGGAAGATGCGGTCGTTCTGGACCAACGGGATATCTTGGGGAAGAAGGATGAGCTGCTTGATTTTGTCTTGCGGGATTTCTCGTTGGACATCTTGGGCGTGGTGTCTGCGCTTGGCGGCGAGGCAACGGGGACTCGCTCAGGGGTTGCAAGGGGCACTGAAGCGCCTCGCTTATGCCGGCCAACAAAGCGGGAGCCAGGAGGAGTTGGGTTCTCGAGAATCTCCTGCTCGTCGCGGGTTAGAGGCTCCTCTTCGTTTTCTTCCATGACAGGACTGATATTGCGCTGGGAAGACTGAACGCGGACATCTGCACGGAGTGGTGAGGAGTTATATGGCGACTGTTCGGCTGTGGTAGCACCACTGCGATCGTGATCATCATATCCATCTGCATTGCCCTGTCCGTTGCCGTTGATATTCTCAGCAGAAGTACCCATGACAGGAGCTCGTCCCTCCTGGGCAGCTCGCAGAGCCTCAACTTCCGTCAACAAATGAAGAAGCATTTCCTCGATATTAGTCAGATCGCCGGAGCTCTTCAAACTGAGTGTTTTCAAAGCCCGCTTGAACACATTCTTCTTCTTCGAACGCATCTCCTCCTCAAATTCGCTGGACATCTTGCTGTGGGTGCGAGGGGTGATCATGGGTCGAGGACCACCGATGGCCTTCTGAGTACGGTCATGGCCCTTGGAGTTTGCATCAAGAAGCATCTCGTCCTGCTGGGCGATGTATTTCTTCATGTCCTCGAAGGAGTTGCGCATTTCCGCAGCGCTGCGGACGAGAGTGATCAGGATCTCGGTGTCTCTTGCATTTCGCTGGGCATCACGAACCGTCAACTGGATAACATGTTAGTACAGACTGATGTTTACTTCTTACGTTTGACGGCAAGTAATTAAAAAGGTAATATCTTACATGGTCCATGAGGGCGACGATATCCTTGGACTGAATCCTGTCGATACCTCGACCAGTCGAGCTATCGTACAGCGGCGAAGGCATTCCATGAGAATAGCCGCTCAAGTGCCGCTTATGTTTATCGTTAAACGGATCATCGACCTCCATCGGACTCCCAAGGCCACCGACGATATCATTCGACAGGTCGAATCCTTTGCCCTTTGGCTCTGGCGTAGCACTGCTGTTCGACCTATGGTTTGCACCAGATATGTACCCTTCATCCCGTGGATTGGGAGAAGCCATATCGAAGTGGTCGTTGCCATAGGGATTAGGACCAAGACCTTTGTCCAAATCAAAACGGTCACGACCGGGCTCTTCCGAGATCACGCCCAGACCACCCGCAGCACCGTAATCGGCGCCAGGTAGATCGGCATCGTTGAGCTCGCGTTCGGGGGAGAGGAGCTGTCTGCCCGATTGGGGCGGGCTGGGCTCGTAGGGCCAATGGTCGCGACCTTCGTGCGGGACGCCGCCAATAGGGCCCTGAATAATGGAAGGGTTGGTGTTGATGTCTGATTCGGTGTCGACCATGTGGCCTATTTCAGGGATCGGGCTACCGGAGTTGGGCAGTGCATTGGCACCAAGGATAGGCCGGTCTTCTTCCTCGTCTTCCTCATCCTCTTCAGACTGTGCAGTGCTGTGTGGTGGAGACGTCACGCCCATGCGTTCGTGGAATGGACGTTCATCAACACTTGGTGGTCCCGCAGGTTCATCATCATCAACCGCTCGGTCGTCCTCGTGTTGGTGGTCAACGTCAGCATCTTCCTCCTCATCTTCATAGGGCTCCTCTTCTTCCTCTACATGGTCATGCTCGTGCTGGTCCTCTTCTGCCTCATGTTCATCTTCTTCATTGAGATCCAAATGTCTGCTTGGACCCTCACCCTCGCCTTCCCCTTCATCGCCTTCCATGCCAGGGGTATAGCTCCTTGACGAGCGATTGACAAGTGGATGCGGCGAACGAGTCGAAACCTGTGAAGGATCGAGGAGAGACGCAACTGCCGACTCAACTCCAACGGGAGTATGCACGTACTGCACGTTCGTAGCACGGCAACCAGCAATCTGCTGTCCCTGGTCAAGAGGATCCGTAAAAGTGTCGTCGGTATAATTAGTCATGTGTTTGGAATCGATGTCAATGTCACGGTCATGGTCAAGGTCGTGGTCGTGGTCGTGGTGATGCTCATGCTCGTCATGGTCCCAGTAACTAGGTGAGTTCCTCTGTGATTCACCGATATCCAGCTTGGAGCCCAGCTCTTCGTCCGGAATGGTGGGAGGATGGCGGTGGCTGTAGTCTGCCGTCCGGGTTGATCTGGCCAGATCGGTGCTTGCGGCCGAGGAGAGAGACTCAATTGAGAGTCTTTGTGGTTGTTTGGAAGCTTCGTCACCTTCCTGGCCGGGAGTCAAGCTGCGATTGTGGTGTTCGTCAGCCTGATAGCTAGCCACGCTCTGGATGGGGCTGAGAGCGCGGTTATTAGAGAAGTCGAGGTCGAGGTCATGATGATGTTGTGGCTCGAGGGCCTTTGGAGTTGGAGACTCGTTGTATTCACGGGTGATCTCCTCTGAGAGCCCACTGCCCAGGTCCCTGGCATGCTGGTTTCCGCTGTCATCAGGGGTCATGCGGCCAATGGGAGAGGCGAGAGCTCGGGGAGAGCCCCTGGACACTTCACCTTCGAGGGCGGTGGCAGTCTGGGCCGACTGCTGCGAGAGGATGGACTGTCTGGTCATATCGGAGTCAATGCCGCTGCGGAAAGGCATGGGAGCAACATCGTGCTTTTGGAAGATGAGTTCAGTATCGTTGTATCCGGGAGCTGTTCCGGCTCCGGCTCCACGACTACCGCTAGCAAGAGAGCTCTTGCTACGTTTGTGAACCCTGTCCCGGCGGCCCAGGCTTGAGTTTGAATCATGGTGCTTCAGGGCTGCGGTGGTCAAGGCGGTTCCAACAATCTTAGCCGCCTCAGCATCGCGTAGGCCCTTGCTCTTCTTCCGGCTGACCCCTGGCGCTTCTACCGAGAGATGATCCTGACGCGAGGAGCTCCGTTCACGACCGGGACTGGCTCGCTTCTCACGTCTTCGTTCCTTGGACCTCGAGGAGGAGTGGGAATCAGGAGACCTGACGGGCGAGCTTGTATTATTACGCTCAGCATCCAGGCCGAGGCTTCTAGAGACATCTGGAGCACTGAACCGCTTTGCCAGCTTTGAGGAGGCAGCAACATCCTCCTTGGAGGACTTGTGGGCGGCGGTGCCGGCACCAGCAGCACCACGACCAGCCTTGATTCGGGCTAAAGGGTCATCCTTCTGGTCCTTTTTGAGCTCCTTGAGTTCAGGCAGGATGAGTCGACGAATGGCATCCTCGACAGTCTCGAGCAGTTTAGGGTTATTGAGGGATGATCGAGAGGTACCTGATCTGAAGGAGTACTGATCACCGTTCCCGGTCTTACCATTGTTTCCAGATGCAAGGGAAGTGCTGAGATAGCTCGACTCGGGACTAACCATCTCTCGTTCTCTATCCTTTCCAGAGCGTTTGGAGCTGTAGTCCAGGCCACCCGAGGAGCTTCCTTCTCCATAACGGTGTTTTGAACGAGTGCGGTCCCGAGAACCAGAGCCAGCACCAGCACCAGCACCACCACTGATCTTCTCAGCGGCCTTTTGAGCAATCCTTTCTCGGCTGAGACTTCGACTGCGTCTTCTGGAAGGTGTCTTGAGCAAGTCACGCGAGTCGGAGGCTGGTTCAGTCTCATCTCCACTGAGACTGTGGCTTCGAGGGCGATTTGTATGAGTTTCCGAGAGTACCAGGGGCCGGTCGAGCATGCTGTCTGCGGGCATGGACGAGATGTCCGAGGTGGGCTGGATGTACCTTGACGAGACCTCGCTGTCTCTGTTGACGATCTCGATCTCTACCGGATGGCCCCTCGAGGCACCTATATCATCTGCTCCATCGGTCAGGGAGCTCAGACTGCCATCATCATCAGCTCCGGCTCCGGCAGCACCAACTCTACCGCCGGCATCCTTCGAGGACCTGGTGGGCGTGCTGAGCGAGATGCGTCTGGTATACGATGGTCTTCTCCCTCCGCTGTTTTCACTGATGTGTATGCGGTCTCTGTCTCTGTCTCTGTCTCTGTCCCTGTCCCTGTCTCTGGTCTTCCTGCTGGACGAAGGGGTGACTCTGACCCTGACGCTTGGCCGAGAGCTGATGCCACCGCTGCCGGACCCTTTCTTGCCGCCCTCGAAGTACTCTATGAGTAAGGAGGTCTGGGAGTGATGCGAGGAGCGGGACATCTTCCCTCCTCCTCCTCCGCCGCCTCCTCCGCCCTCTTCGCGGTCCCTGTCCCTGTCCCGCGGCCGCGAAGAACGACGGCGGGTGGAGATGGTGATGGGGCTGCCATCTTCGGGGATGGAGTAGGACGTCTTGTCAGTCCGGCGGGAGAGATCAGTGGCAAGGTCGGTGGCAGTGCCCGTCGTGCTGGCGACTGTGGTATCGAGGACGGACTCTGTTGGGGCCGGGAGGATGGGTCTGCGGGTGTCGACGCCCATGGTTCTTCTCTGTCCCTTTCTTTTTTTTGGTCTCCTCTTTTTCTTCAGCAGGCCACTATCATAGTCAGGTCGATGGCAGGCAACGGGGTATAGCTCTGTATATATCTCTCAAGGCTCAGGGATTTTTATTCTTTTTTTTTTTATTCTTTTGTTGTTGGCGTTGGCGTTGGTGGATGGTTTTGTTTGTCGGTGTACGGAGTAAGTTGAAGAAGTAAAAAAAAAAAACAAGACGACCAAGACGAAAAAGGAGCTGTTTCTTCTGACTAGTAAAAGCGAAGAAAGAAAGAAAAAAGGGTCTTCTTTATCCCTGGGAGATCTCTAATTCTCTTGCTGGCCCTTCGTCTTTTTTCTGGTGAGGCGAGAGTGACTTGGAGGCTGCGGGTGACGGGGTGGTTGGTGGTTAGTTAGTTGGCGATGCTTTGTTGTCAGCGGCGGCGGGAGAGAAGAAAGGCGAGAGAAGACGAAGGAAGCCCTGCTGGTCCCTGTAGCCTGACGAGAAGAAATTGAAGAGAAGAACCAGAAGGGAAAAAAAACAAGGGTACAATTACAAGAAGAGGGAGGGACCTTGAAGAGTGAAAAGGAAGAAGAAGAAGAAGAAGAAGATGTCTGTTCTGTCTGTTCTGTCTGGCTGTCTGATCTGTCTGGTCTGTCCATCCCTCCTCCACCCCCAGCCATCAGTGTCTCTTTGACTAGCGCCAGTGGACCAGCCACTCTTATTATTTACCTCCGGCCTTTTTTCTTCCTTACCAGCCTCAAGATCATGACATTCTAAGTACCCTTAACTACCTTAACTAAGCTACGGCTGGGGTTCGGCGACATGGCATGACAGCGAGAGTCGTGATGATAGAGAGAGAGAGAGGCCCCCGAGAGCGCCGTTGGACTGACCTTCACCCGACAGATAACCGCCATCTAAGACTCTTCTCTTCCACCTCTCTTCTTCTTCTACAGAGTCCTTCTTCTCTTCTTCTTCTCCATCCTTCCGTCCCCCGGTCAACCAGCGTCCTGGCCCTCGTCGCCCATCCCTGCCCTTCTCCATCTGTCCCCAGGCCGCGGCACCCCCTGATTGGCCTCTGCTCCCTCTTGCTCGTCTGTGGCCTTGTCGGTGGCCTTGTCTGTGGCCTGCCTCTGCGCTCCTCTTTGGCCAGTCTCTGCTCGTTCGCTCGCTCGCTGTCGTGCCAACGCATCAACCTCCCCCTTCTTCTTGCAGGGTCGCACTAAGGCAAACTCTCTGGCCGTCGCTTGATGATCCCCGTAGCCGACTCCATCGTCCGTTAGTCGCCGTAGAGACGAGTAGTAGAAGACGCAGTAGTAGTAGAAGCTGTCGAAGCTGTAAGAGTAGCTGTAGTAGAAGCTGTTAGCTGTCAGTAGCTGTCAGTAGCAACCATCCCGGCGCCTCTCTCTTGCTTCACATGAAACCAGCAGACAAACATCCAACTGAGAGGGGCATTACCAGCCACACTCCTTTCTCTCCCTTCTCCCTCTCTCTCTCTCTCTCTCTCTC